ATTTGGACCCGCTTTGGTATAAGTACGGAGTGATGACCTTTGCCTTCGACGCCCTCTCTTTGGCCACTGATTTCTATACAAACGTTGAGATTCCCATCGATTCCTTCTATTACTACAACTCTCTCATCAAATTAGGCCGACGTTATTGTGCGACCGTTCGGTGCGTTGCCCTCCATTTCATTCCCCTTTCATTCGATGTTTTAATAAAGTCTTGTATTTTAGTCTTTCAGAAGTACTGCTTATTGGTTCCCAATTGGATGCCATTTGTGATCACAAATATTCAGCGCAAACAAAGCTAAACAACGCTTCTCTGTGTCTGCAATCAACGCATTACTCATCGGATTCGATGCCTGTATTTACCGGCGATTCTTCTGAGTCCACAACTACTTGTGAAGTGAAGCATTCAATAGATGGACAACACATCCCTCAAACTGATCCAGAAATTGATATAAAGTCAACTCAATGTTCATCTAATTTGAATTCCTCGATACGCGAAGATTGTGAACACAAACACTCCACTAATCCCTGGGAAATGAAGAGAAGATTGAGAAATATTGATAATTCTTTGTCTGATTCTGAAGATTATTCTTCCAATAGAAAGAAGCCGTCATTTGATTTGCAGACATTGATCGATGAAAATAGTTTTCGAGAAATACTGGATTTAGTCATAACGTCGATTGAAATTGATTTCTATAAGCTTTTGTTGGATGAAAACGACGCCAAATACATAATAAAGCAAATAAAAGGCGTTCACATGAATTGTCTCGAGACCTATGCTTCCCATGTATTGAAGCCGAGAATTGAGGAATTAATGGGCGAAACGTCACAAGAAATTGTCGACAATTATCCCAATTATAGACTCTTAAAGTTTAAATTAGTTGAAAAGATTGCGAGCCTTGAAGTGGAGCTCAAAGAATATGAAGACGCCGTCAATACATGTCTTAATATTACTGCTTATCCAACCTATACTTATGGCGAGCGTCTCATCGTTTCAAACCTCATGTATTTGGAAGCGTTGTCTAAATTTGAGTTANCTCATCGTTTCAAACCTCATGTATTTGGAAGCGTTGTCTAAATTTGAGTTATATTTATGTAAACGTAATATTAATAGCGATAAGCTATGGATTGAATTCAATCATAACTATATGGAGTGTTCGGACGTTTCGGCATCGGCTCTGTCGCAAGCCTTAACCCCTCCCAGACCTCAAGCTATGAAAGCTTTAGCCCCGAAGGCTCCCAAACAGAAAGCCTTTAAGAATGAAGAGATGAATGATTACGTAACGGCTCTCACAAACAAATTGTACGACGAGTTAAAACCCGATCAAAAGACGGCAAAACTTTTTGATAACGATTCAGAAATGCGTTCGTTTTCAATGTCGGACTTGAACTCAACGGCCACTGAAAAGGCAGTCGATTCTGATATTATAGTTGTGGACGTCTACTCCAAAGACAAACCCAATCCAAACCCGACGCCCACTAAGCGTATGACGCGTTCAAAAACAAAGCTCATTGAAAATGTTGAGAAACCACTGAAGACCACAAAGAGAAGGGCTCTGTCCTCAAAAAGCAAGCCTTTGAGTGATGTGTCAAACGATGTCAAAGATGTGAATATAAATTGTGAGAATTTGGACGACGTTTTTCACCAAAAACTCGTCATTTCAGATGAGGTCAAAGTTGTTAAGAAGTTCTCGAAAGAGGATTCGTATGACTTGTCGTCAATCATATCAACACTTAAGCGAATATTTCGTTTGGTGTCTTCACACCCGAGTTGTAAACTCTATACTTCTGTTCACAAACTGTTGTCACAAATATATTCTATGGAAGAGTTGAAG